CCGACAGGTTTGGTGGATGTGAAAGCGATAATGGCATACGGAGGAAAGGATGCTTCCAATTTATTCCCAGTTCAAGTTAGCGCTCTATGTGGAGGGTATGATGCCAACGGTGTGAGCCCGGCTTTGACTTTTGACGCTTCAAATTCTACCGCACTTGACCCAAATTCGGTCTACCATGATTTCCGATATTTTACTGATGATTCCCGACCGGATTGGTATTACGAAAAGATGATTGAATTGAGAGCTAATTATTTGGCTGGACAAAGGGCGTACTCGACCAAGTTAGTCAAGTCACTATCTTTCAAGAGACAGATAGCAATTCTGAACGATAAAGTCTTTGACCTTACACCGTACGCACAGGGAGGTCGTCAGTTGTTGGGACCCAACAATCAGCAACTATCGGGCGCTAGCACAGACTTTATGCATCCATTGATTGTATCATTGTTTCAGACAGATGCCGGTACCGATATTACAAAGAAATTCAATAACCTTGGTCTAGACCCTACCATACAACAACAACAAGAGATATGTTTACGCAACTTATTCTACAAGGGTGTAGTCGATCATCGTTCATCACCTCAATGCTTATTCTCGAGATACATTCTTCTTATATTCACCGGATTCTTGGTGGCAGTTATCATCTTCAAGTTTTTGGCTGCTTTACAACTCGGAGCTAAGCGTGAGCCGGAAGAACATGACAAATTTGTTATCTGTCAGATTCCATGCTATACTGAAGGAGAGGATTCACTGAGAAAGACCCTGGATTCATTGGCTGTCTTGCGATATGACGACAAGAGAAAGCTTTTGTTTATTATTTGCGATGGTATGATTGTCGGTAGCGGTAACGATCGTCCAACTCCGGCTATTGTGTTGGAAATTCTCGGTGTTGACCCTAATCTCGATCCTGAACCGTTAAGTTTCTTGTCCCTTGGTGATGGTGCCAAGCAGCATAATATGGGCAAAGTGTACTCTGGATTGTACGAATGCAACGGGCATGTTGTTCCATACCTGGTAGTTGTCAAAGTTGGAAGACCCGGTGAGCGGGCTCGTCCCGGTAATCGTGGTAAACGTGATTCTCAGATGGTTTTGATGCGATTCCTCAACAAGGTTCACTTTAACTCGGAAATGACACCCCTCGAACTAGAGATTTATCATCAAATCAAAAATGTTATTGGAGTCAACCCCAGTTTCTACGA